ACAGACCCCCCTCAGCCCCCAGCTGTGCCCTGGACACCATATGTGAATTGATTGCCCCCCATTTATCCTCAGAGTTCGTACTGCTTGGTGACCTAAATTGGGATATGCTTAACACCCCGGCCATCCTACAATCCAAACTAGATGCCCTCAATCTCACACAAATTATCAACGAACCTACCAGGTACAACCCTAAATCCGTAAACATGGGTACCCTCATAGATATCATCCTGACTAACTTACCCTCTAAATACACCTCCGCTGTCTTCAACCAGGATCTCAGCGATAACTGCCTTATTGCCTGCGTCCGTAACGGGTCCGCGGTCAAACGACCACCCCTCATCACTGTCAAACGCTCCCTAAAACACTTTAGCGAGCAGGCCTTCCTAATTGACCTGGCCCAGGTATCCTGGATGGATATAGATCTCATTCCGTCAGTAGAGGATGCCTGGTTGTTCTTTAAAAGTAATTTCCTCTCAATCTTAAATAAACATGCCCCATTCAAAAAATACAGAACTAAGAACAGATATAGCCCCTGGTTCTCCTCAGACTTGACTGCCCTTGACCAGCACAAAAACATCCTGTGGCGTACTGCATTAGCATCAAATAGCCCCCGCGATATGCAACTTTTCAGGGAAGTTAGGAACCAATATACACAAGCAGTCAGGAAAGCAAAGGCTAATTTTTTCAAACAGAAATTTGCATCCTGTAGCACTCCAAAAAGTTTTGGGACACTGTAAAGTCCATGGAGAATAAGAGCACTTCCTCCCAGCTACCATGTGCACTGAGGCTAGGAAACACTATCACCACCGATAAATCTACAATAATCGAGAATTTCAACAAGCATTTTGCTATGGCTGGCCATGCTTTCCACCTGGCTACCACTACCCCGGCCACCAACTCTGCACCCTCCGCTGCAACTTGCCCATGCCCCCCCCCCCCCGCTTCTCCTTCACACAAATTAAGACAGCTGATGTTCTGAAAGAGCTGCAAAATCTGGACCCCTACAAATCAGCTGGGCTAGACAATCTGGACCCTTTCTTTCTAAAACTAGCCGCCGAAATTGTCGCAACCCCTATTACTAGCCTGTTCAACTTCTCTTTCGTAACGTCTGAGATCCACAGAGATTGTAAAGCTGCCGCGGTCATCCCCCTCTTCAAAGAGGGTGACACTCTAGATCCAAACTGTTACAGACCTATATCCATCCTGCCCTGCCTTTCGAAAGTATTTGAAAGCCAAGTTAACAAACAGGTCACCGACCATTTCGAATCCCACCGTACCTTCTCCGCTATGAAATCCGGTTTCCGAGCTGGTCATGGGTGCACTTCAGCCACGCTCATGGTCCTAAACGATATTATAACCGCAATCGATAATAGACAGTACTGTGCAGCCGTCTTCATCGACCTGGCCAAGGCTTTCGACTCTGTCAACCACTGCATTCTTATTGGCAGACTAAATAGCCTTGGTTTTTCAAATGACTGCCTCGCCTGGTTCACCAACTACTTCTCAGATAGAGTTCAATGTGTCAAATCGGAGGGCCTGTTGTCTGGACCTATGGCAGTCTCTATGGGGGTGCCACAGTGTTCAATTCTTGGGCCGACTCTTTTCTCTGTGTATATCAATGATGTCGCTCTTGCTGCTGGTGACTCTCAGATCCACCTCTACGCAGACGACACCATTTTGTATACATCTGGCCCTTCATTGGACACTGTGTTAACAAACCTCCAAACGAGCTTCAATGCCATACAACACTCCTTCAGTAGCCTCCAACTGCTCTTAAACACTAGTAAAACTAAATGCATGCTCTTCAATCGAACGCTGCTGGCACCCGCCCACCCGACTAGAATCACTACTCTCGACGGGTCTGACCTAGAATATGTGGACAACTACAAATACCTAGGTGTCTGGTTAGACTGTAAACTCTCCTTCCAGACTCACATTAAGAATCTCCAATCCAAAGTTAAATCTAGAATCTGCTTCCTATTTCGCAACAAAGCCTTCTTCACTCATGCTGCCAAACATGCCCTCGTAAAACTGACTATCCTACCGATCCTTGACTTTGGCGATGTCATTTACAAAATAGCCTCCAACACTCTACTCAGCAAATTGGATGTAGTCTATCACAGTGCCATCCGTTTTGTCTCCAAAGCCCCATACACTACCCACCACTGTGACCTGTACGCTCTTGTTGGCTGGTCCTCACTACATGTTCGTCGTCAAACCCACTGGCTCCAGGCCATCTATAAATCACTGCTAGGCAAATCCCCGCCTTATCTTAGCTCATTGGTCACCATAGCCGCACCCACCCGTAGTCTGCGCTCCAGCAGGTATATCTCACTGGTCATCCCCCAAAGCCAACACCTCCTTTGGCCGCCATTCCTTCCAGTTCTCTGCTGCCAATGACTGGAACGAATTGCAAAAATCTCTGAAGCTGGAGACTCTTATCTCCCTCACTAACTTTAAGCATCAGTTGTCAGAGCACCTTACCGATCACTGCACCTGTACACAGCCCATCTAAAATTAGCCCACCCAACTACCTCATCCCTATATTGTTATTTATTTTGCTATTTTGCACCCCAGTATCTCTACTTGCACATAATCTCTTGCACATCTAGCATTCCAGTGTTAATACTAATTGTAATTATTTTGCACTATAGCCTATTTATTGCCTTACCTCCATAACTTGCTACATTTGCACACACTGTATATATATTTTCTGTAGTATTTTTTGACTTTATGTTTTTTTACCCCATATGTAACACTGTGTTGTTGTTTTTATCGCACTGCTTTGCTTTATCTTGGCCAGGTCGCAGTTGTAAATGAGAACTTGTTCTCAACTGGCTTACCTGGTTAAATAAAGGTTAAATAAATAAATAAATAAAAATAGGGTCAGAGGCAGAGAATCCCAGTGGAGAGAGGGGAGCCGGCCAGGCTGAGACAGCAAGGGTGGTTCGTCATTCCAGTGCATTGCCGTTCACCTTTGCACCCCTGGGCCAGACTAACCTATGTCTGAAACACAGGCTTCCAGGGTAGGCAATTTTGGGGCTTAACCATGTTTCATCGAAATGTACAGCTAGCTGTGCGTCGTTAACATAGCAGTGAAAATTGTCATTGTGTTTCCGAATGACATCACCAAGAGGTAGAATATATAGTGAAAATGATAGTGGTCCTAAAAAAACGGAACCTTGAGGAACACCTAAACTTAACATTGATTTGTCAGAGGACAAACCATCCACCGAGACGAACTGATATCTTTCCGACAGATAAGATCTAAACCAGGCAATACCAATTAGGGTTTCCAATCTCTCCAAAATAATGTGGTGATCGATGGTGTCAAAAGCATCCCTAAGGTCTAGGACCACAAGGACAGATGCAGAGCCTTGGTCTGACGCCATTAAAAGGTCATTTACCACCTTCACAAGTGCAGTGTCAGTTCTATGACGGGGTCTAAAACCAGACTGGAGTGTTTCGTATGCATTATTTGTCTTCAGGAAGGCAGGAAAGCTTGCTTCAGGGCTCGGGTATTTTCTGGATACCAGGGAGCTAATTTCTTGTGACAAATTTGTTTTTGTTTTTAGAGGTGCGAGTGCATCTAGGCTATCACGCAAGGTTAAGTTTAGATCCTCGGTTAGGTGGTTAACTGATTTTTGTACTCCGACGTCCTTGGGTAGGTGGAGGGAGTCTGGAAGGGCATCTAGGAACCTTTGGGTTGTCCGAGAATATATAGCGCGGCTTTTGATAATCCTTGGTTGGGGTTTGAGCAGATTATTTGTTGCGATTACAGAAAAGGGGAAAACAACATAAAAAATGTAATACATTGATTTTTTGAAGATGTGTTGTTGTTGTTTCCAGGGAAGGATGCGCGTCTCTATGTGTTCAGACTGAGCATGCTCAAGAGAGGCCTGGAGGAGAGGCAGCTGGTCCGCACCAAGTGTGACAGCCGAGAGAACAAACTGGAGAAGACCAAAGGTACACACACACATGCATGCATACTCACGCACACACACACACACGTTTGTTTTACTATCCTTGTGGGGACCAAACAATTGATTCCCATTCAAAATCCTATTTTCCCTAAAACCTAAACCTAACCCTAATCTTAACCCCTAACTCCTAAACCTAACCCCTGACCCTAGTTGTAACCCTAAACCTAAGCCTAAAATAGCCTTTTTCTTTGTGGAGGACCGGCGAAATGTCCCCACTTGTCCAAAAACACACACACACTCAGTGCACGGTCCCGTTCCCAGGCAGTGTGCCAGTTCAGTGAGGTGTAGTAGAGTAGAGCATCCGGCCCCGGGCCACAGCCACAGCACTGGTCTGTGGGACAGTCCCTGAGGAGAGGACAACACTCCCCCTACTACACACTGTATGGCCTCTCCAATACAACATTACATGGGTGTGTGTGGGTGTGGGTGTGTGTGTGTGTGTGTGTGTGTGTGTGTGTGTGTGTGTGTGTGTGTGTGTGTGTGTGTGTGTGTGTGTGTGTGTGTGTGTGTGTGTGTGTGTGTGTGTGTGTGTGTGTGTGTGTGTGTGTGTGTGTGTGTGTGTGTGGGTGTGGTTTTGGGAGGGGGAGGAAGGGTGAGTATGAGTAAGTGTGTGTGTCTCAGAAAAGAGACTAGAGGAATAGAAACTGCTGCATTTCTATATGTAAGGACCAGACCAGATCCAATAGGCCACTCAGGGAGGAGAAGCACTACTTAGACAATGAATGGGAAATAGACAGAGAGGGAAAACAGAGGGATGGAAAGAGGGAGATTGCAGGAGCGGTAGCATTAGCACTCGAAGAGGAATGTGCTCCGAATAATAATTATATTCCTCAATTGCATACCGCAACTAACCACTAACATATTTATCTTTCTCTGTTTCTTTTGCTTTCTCTCTCTCTCTCTCTCTCTCTCTCTCTCTCTCTCTCTCTCTCTCTCTCTCTCTCTCTCACCCCTATCCTCCCGTTCTCTCTCCCCTTCACCCTCCCCCTCTCCTCCCCTACTCCCCCTATCCCAGGGTGTCACCTGTACTCAATCAACACCCACCACGGGTCAGAGTTGAGGATCGTGGCGGCCATCAGAAACAAGCTCCTCCTCATCACCCGGAAGCAGCCCCGCCCCGATGGCATGGGCACCTTCGCCGCCGCAACCGACTCGCCCGTGGATCAGTTCCAGTACATACGGGTAACTGTACACACAAGCAGACACACACACGGTTTACACGGAAACACACAGACTACACTTTCCACTATCGTGCACAGTAGTTCTTTACCATAACCATTTTGAATGATTGAATGAGTTCAACAACTTAACAATCAGTATTCCAGAGTAACCTTCCATAGTGGAACAGCAAGAGAATGTTATCCTAGAGTTGACAGTTCACCTCAGCTAAACTTAGAAGGAAGGTGGCTAGTGGATGAGGAGAGGCGCATAGCCAAAAACACATGCACGCTGACTCACTCACTATGAACGCCACCCTCCTGACCAGTCCCCCTCCATTACAGTTTAATCATTTAGCAGACACTCTTATCCAGAATGATTTACAGGAGCAATTAGGGGCATTGCTCAAGGGCACATTTGTCACCTAGTCGGCTCAGGGAATCAAACCAGCAACCCTTTGGTAACTGGCTCAACGCTCTTAACCGCTAGGCTACCTGCCGTCCTCTCCTCTAGGAGATATGTCTGTGTGAAATTCCAGTGGTGATGGCTTTGGTGGACGGTCCTACAGGGGAGAATGACAACATGATCTGTGTGGCCTACAAACACCAGTTTGACCTGATCAACGAGAGCACCGGGGACGCATACAGGCTACACCACGTAGACGCCAACCGGGTGAGGCCTCCAACCAACATCGTTTATGTTTTTATTTACCTTCCATTTATCTTCAGTGTACCTGGTCGGTTAACTGAGAAGAGAGCTCAACAATGTTGGGGAAGAGTTACAGTTGAGGGGAGACGAGTTGAAGACGGGCCAATGAATGATAATTGAATATGTTTTTTCTTCATAATTGAATATAATAAATTCAATACAGTGTTCTTCTTTGCTGTGTGCGCAGGTCAACTTTGTGGCAGCCATCGATGTGTACGAGGATGGGGAGGCTGGTCTTTTGTTGTGTTACAATTGTGAGTCTCCATTTATCCCTTATTTTACATCAAAGTATAAAAATATATCTACATTCTAATATACAGTAACATAATAAAATACATTGAGGATAGACTGACCAGGTGAATCCTGGTGGAAGCTATGATCCCTTATTGATGTCACTTGTTAAATCCACTTCAATCAGTGTAAATGAAGGGGAGGAGACAGGTTAAAGAAGGATATTAGGAAGAGACAGGTTAAAGAAGGATATTAGGAAGAGACAGGTTAAAGAAGGATATTGTCACGATCGTTGAACGGAGTAGACCAAGGCGCAGCGTGATGAGCAAACATATTTTATTATCTTTAGTGATAATAATAACAAAACAACAAACGATAACGACACGTGAAGTCCTAGGTTTAACACAACCAACACGGAACAAACCAAACGGAACAAGATCCCACAAACACTATGGGAAAACAGACTGTTTAAATATGGTTCCCAATCAGAGACAACCAGCAACAGCTGACACTCGTTGCCTCTGATTGGGAACCACTCTGGCCAACATAGAAATAGAACACATAGAACTACAACACAGAACTCAAACACATAGAATCTACACACCCTGGCTCAACATATAGAGTCCCCAGAGACAGGGTGTGACAGTACCCCCCCCCCCCCAAAGGCGCGGACTGCGACCGCGCCTAAACATAAACAAACCAGGGGAGGGCTGGGTGGGCATTCCTCCTCGGAGGCGGTTCCGGCTCCGGGCTTGACCACCACCCTCCAATAATCCCCCCGTAGCGCCCCTGGTCCGGTCTGGCCCCGCTGGCTGGAGCTGGACTGGACATCGTAGGAGCGGATTGCTTCAGCTCCGGTGTGGAGCAGCTGACCGGTACCTGACCAGGCACTGGTGACCCAGGCACGGGTTGTGCCGGACTGACGATGCGCACCCCTGGCTTGGTGCGTGGAGCAGGAACGGGCCGGACCGGGCTGACGATGCGCACCCCTGGCTTGGTGCGTGGAGCAGCTACGGGCCGGACCGGGCTGACGATGCGCACCCCTGGCTTGGTGCGTGGAGCAGGAACGGGCCGGACCGGGCTGACGACTCGCACCCCTGGCTTGGTGCGTGGAGCAGGAACGGGCCTTACCGGGCTGACGACTCGCACCCCTGGCTTGGTGCGAGTGGCAGGAACAGACCGGGCCGGGCTGGCGACGCGCACCGTAGGCTTGGTGCGAGTGGCAGGAACAGGCCGGGCCGGGCTGGCGACGCGCACCGTAGGCTTGGTGCGAGTGGCAGGAACAGGCCGGGCCGGGCTGGCAACGCGCACCGTAGGCTTGGTGCGAGTGGCAGGAACAGGCCGGGCCGGGCTGGCGACGCGCACCATTGACTTGGTGCGAGTGGCAGGAACAGGCCGGGCCGGGCTGGCGACGCGCACCATCAACTTAGTGCGGGGAGCAGGAACAGGCCGGGCTGGGCTGGCGATGCGCACCGTAGGCTTGGTGCGAGGGGCAGGAACAGGCCGGGCCGGGCTGGTGACGCGCACCATTAGCTTGGTGCGGGGAGCAGGAACAGGCCGGGCTGACGACGCGCACCATTAGCTTGGTGCGGGGAGCAGGAACAGGCCGGGCCGGGCTGGCGACGCACACCGTAGGCTTGGTGCGAGTGGCAGGAACAGGTCGGGCTGGGCTGGCGACGCGCACCGTAGGCTTGGTGCGAGTGGCAGGAACAGGCCGTGCCGGGCTGGCGACGCGCACCATTAACTTAGTGCGGGGAGCAGGAACGGGCCGGACCGGACTGGTGACGCACACCACTTGCTTGGTGTGAGGAGCGGGACTGGGTTTCGTCATAACCCTCCGCCCCCTCAGCTGCCTACACAGTTCCTCTCGCCGTGCCTCTATTCTCACCTTCTCCCTTATCGCCTCCAGTAGCTCCACCCTCTGCACCACTAACTCCTGCTCCCTCTGCACCAATAGCCCCCTTAACCTGGTGGCCTCCTCACCTAACCTCCTAATACGCCCTGTAGCTGCCTCCTGCTGCCCCGTCGCCCATGCCGTGTGCCCCCCCCTAAAAATGTTTTGGGGTTGCCTCTCGTCCGTCCGACGACGACACTGTTGACGCCGTTGCTCCTCTCTCCGTCGCGCCTCTACCGTCTCCTTCCATGGACGGCGATCCATCCCGGCCTGGATTTCCTCCCAGGTCCAGGACCCCTTCCCGTCCATTATCTGCTCCCACGTCCAGGCTGCCTGCTCCTGGATACGCTGCTTGGTCCTGGTATGGTGGGATCTTCTGTCACGATCGTTGAACGGAGTAGACCAAGGCGCAGCGTGATGAGCAAACATATTTTATTATCTTTAGTGATAATAATAACAAAACAACAAACGATAACGACACGTGAAGTCCTAGGTTTAACACAACCAACACGGAACAAACCAAACGGAACAAGATCCCACAAACACTATGGGAAAACAGACTGTTTAAATATGGTTCCCAATCAGAGACAACCAGCAACAGCTGACACTCGTTGCCTCTGATTGGGAACCACTCTGGCCAACATAGAAATAGAACACATAGAACTACAACACAGAACTCAAACACATAGAATCTACACACCCTGGCTCAACATATAGAGTCCCCAGAGCCAGGGTGTGACAGATATTAGGAAGGTGTTTCTAATGTTTGGTGTACTCAGTGTATATTATCCATTGTCGTCAACCATCCAAATATATGTTCCTATAAGATTACTTTACAAATACGTAAGGTGCGTCTGAAATGACACCCCATTCCCTTTATAGTACTCTACTATACTATACTACCCTATGGGCTCTGGTCAAAAGTAGTACACTATAAAGGGAATAAGGTGCCATTTGGGACGTAGACATGGTTTAACGACTGAAATTAGATGTCTTCTCTCTCTCTGTCTCTCTCTCTCTCTCTGCTGTACAGATATCTGTTCCTATAAGAAGGTGTGTCCGTTCAACGGCTCCACCCCCATGATCCAGTCCAACGCCTCTGACTTCCACTTCAGCTGGAACCAGATGCCCAATGCCATCGGTGAGTAGTACTGGCAACCATAGCAACCAGCAGCCCCACCCCTCCCCACACCCCGCTCCCTCCCTCCCTTGGTCAGCCCAGCCGTCGGCCCCGGCCTGAGCCCTGTCGCCATGGTAACATGCAGCGGGTGGCGACTGAGGCTAGGTCGTCGAGTGTGTTTGTCTGTGTCTGTGTTTCTGTGTGTTTGTCTGTGCCTGTGTTTCTGTGTGTTTGTCTGTGTCTGTGTTTCTGTGTGTTTGTTTCTGATGACTGATGAAAGCAGAGAATGTCCGGCTAAAGATACATTACTTTTTGATTTAAATGAATATGACATAAGCTACAGTTTCTCTTCTGCATGTTGGTGTGTGTGTGTTTGTACTGTGATGCTGCTTTGACAAACCAATTGTCCCCTTGGGATTAATTAAGAAACTATCATTACCTATTGTCTATTATCTATCATATATCCTAACCATTTATCCAAACCTATCAACTTCATTTAGCCAGGTGTCTGTCTTCAGAATGTTGATGCTGTGCTTTTTATCATAATTACTTCATTGTCATGAACTCCTTGCTACTTTTGATTGTCCGTTCTGCCTGTAAATTTACTGTTTCTTATGCTGCTGTGTAGAGCATATTATGAGTGTAAATGCACATTGGTTGTCCTGCCCACTGTAAAACCATAGCAGGAAGTTATTGTTGTTTTTGTTGTTGTGTTGCAGTTCGTGCATTCTTTATCAACCATATAACAGGTAGTTGTTGTGTTACAGTGTGTGCGTTCCCCTACATCCTGGCCTTTACCACTGACTCCATTGAGATCCGGCTAGTTGTCAACGGTAACCTGGTCTATACAGCTGTGGTGCCAGAGCTGCAGCTGACTGCCTCAAGGGTGAGTCTGATTGACAGGTGGAAGTGTCCAATCATGATAATGATTGTAATGAAAATGTGTGCACAATTGTGTTCATGTACACTCAGTGGCTAGTTTATTAGGTAGACCCATCTAGTACCGAGTCGGACCCCCTTTTGCGTCCAGAACAGCCTGAATTCTTTGGGGCATGGATTCTACAAGTCGGAAACGTTCCACAGGAATGTTGGTCCATGCTGACACGATGGCATCACGCAGTTGCTGCAGATTGGACGGCAGTACACCACCGCCACCAGCTTGTACACTCTTTTTTTTGTGCACCTTTTTTTCTATGAAAATCCTCTATGAATGGTTCTACCTAGAACCCTCAATGAAGGGTTATACCAATAATTATTTTATCATCAAAATGTTCTTCCTAGAACCGTCTATGAAGGGTTCTACAGAGAACCCTTTTATCTTTGGAGGGTTCTTCCTAGAACCCTCTATGAACGGGTAGGACCCACCAGCCTAATTAGCCTTTAAAATTGTATTATTTATGACAATACATTACATATTTGTGACAATACATACAGTGCATTTGGAAAGTATTCAGACCCCTTACCTTTTTCCACATTTTGTTACGTTACAGCCTTATTTTAAAATGGATTAAATACATGTATTTCCTCATCAATCTACACATAATAACCCATAATGACAAAGCGAAAACAGGTTTTTAGAAATTTTAGCACATTTATAAAAAATACAAAACAGAAATACCTTATTTACATAAGTATTCAGACCCTTTGCTATGAGACTCGAAATTGAGTTCAGGTGTATCCTGTTTCCATTGATCATCCTTGAGATGTTTCTGAAACTTGATTGGAGACCATCTATGGTAACTTCTATTTATTGGACATGATTTGGAAAGGCACACACCTGTCTATATAAGGTCCCACAGTTGACAGTGCATGTCAGAGCAAAAACCAAGCCATGAGGTCGAAGGAATTGTCCGTAGAGCTCCGAGACATATTGTGTCGCGGCACAGATCTGGGGAAGGGTACCAAAAATGTTTTGCAGCATTGAAGGTCCCCAAGAACACAGTGGCCTCCATCATTCTTAAATGGAAGAAGTTTGGAACCACCAAGACTCTTCCTAGAGCTGGCCGCCCGGGAAAACTTAGCAATCGGGGGAGAAGGGCCTTGGTCAGGGAGGTGACCAAGAACCCAATGGTCACTCTGACAGAGCTCCAGAGTTCCTCTGTGGAGATGGGAGAACCTTCCAGAAGGACAACCATCTCTGCAGCACTGCTCCAGAGCGCTCAGGACCTCAGACTGGAGTGAAGGTTCACCTTCCAACAGGACAATGACCCTAAGCACACAGCCAAGACAACACAGGATTGGCTTTGGGACAAGTCTCTGAATGTCCTTGAGTGGCACAGCCAGAGCCTGGACTTGAACCCGATCTAACATCTCTGGAGAGACCTGAAAATAGCTGTGCAGCAACGCTCCTTATCCAACCTGACAGAGCTTGAGAGGATCTGCAGAGAAGAATGGAAGAAACTCCCCAAATACAGGTGTGCCAAGCTTGTAGCGTCATACCCAAGAAGACCACAAAATGTGGAAAAAGTCAAGGGTTCTGAATACTTTCCGAATGCACTGTATATCATAAGGCCTTTCTTTGAGGGCCTAGTTATACGTTAACACATGTTGTTAGGAATCTCCAGGTTTACAAGTCACATTATGCTGGCTTGCAAAGTGATGTGTAAATCCTATTGAAATCCAACCAGAATAAAGATATCTAACAAGTGGATTTTTTAAATATATTTTTTTATTATGGAATCGTTGATCACCCTCAACCTGCATTCAGAATGACTGCCAGGGTAGGGAAAATTGAATAATGAGACTACCTCAATCATCTACACTGGAACAACATGCTGGGAAAAATGATATATGGTTCTATGTAGAACCCTTCTTGCCATCCAAAGAATCATCAAAGAACCCTTTCTTCCAAAAACTGTTCTTAGGATGTTAAAGGTTCTAGGTAGAACCCTTTGACTTACAAATAACCCTTGTCTTCCAAAAAGGGTTCCTCAGATCAAAACGCTATTTGGTAGAACCCTATCCCTCCGCAGAGAACCCTTTTGGAACCTTTTTTTCTAAGAGTGTACCGTTGACACCAGGCAGGATGGGTCCATGGAATTAGCTTGCACGATTCTTGCCATTCTCCTTCAACTAGCTTTTTTCGCCCACAGGACTGCCGCTGACTGGATGTTTTTTGTTTGTCGTACCATTCTCGATAAATTCCAGACACTGTCATGCTTGAAAAGCCCAGGAGGGCAGAGTTTTCTGAGATACTGGATCCGGCGTGCCTGGCACCGACGATCATATCATGCTCAAAGTCACTAACGATCGAACGAACAGTAACTGAATGCCTCGATGCCTGTCTGCCTGCTTTATATAGCAAGCCACGGCCACGTGACTCACTGTCTGTAGGAGCGATCCATTTTCGTGAACGGGGTGGTGTGCCTAATAAACTGGCGTGTATATGCGTGTGTGCGCATGTGCGCACCCGTTCGTGAGTATTTGTGTTTTTAGAAACAGGAGTCCCAGCAATCTTATTTCAATCAATCTTTATTGACCCGGAGGGAAATTTGTTTTGCAAACAGGGACAACAAACTGTATAAAAACAATCCAACACACGCATCTCTTACACAGCAGAGGGATATACAGTACACAGACTAGAGTGTACCATTTAGCAATATGAAATACAACATCATCATGTTGTGTTAGCAGGTGATGGCATTATTTCACTATCCAACACCTCTCTCATACTATCTCTATCTTGATCTCCCTCTCTTTTTTTCTCCATTCTCTATCTCTCCATCTCGCTCTCTATCTCTCTCTCTTTCTCTCCGTCTACCTCTATTCATCTTTCCCCATCTCCACTTTTTCTCCCCCTCTCCATTTCGTTCAATCCCTCCATCCCCTTCTCCCGCAGTCGGACATCTACTTTGTGTCGTCCGCTCCGGTCAACTCGGCTTCCAACTGCAGCTCCCGGGACACCAGTTCCCAGAGTTCCCCACAGACGCCCACAGGCTACGAGATGCCCGTGTTTCCCTCGCCGCTCGGAGATGGTAAGCCTCGCATAGCAACCAATCACGTTATAGTACGACAACACAATTGGAAATGCACACTTTGTTGACTAAGAGTTTTTGACTATGTTGACTTGGTTTACTTGGTTGACTATAAGGCTCTTTTTTTCTTTGTTATTTATTTGTTATTGTTGGGTGGGGGGGGGGGGGGGGGCGTAGTATGATGTATAATATAAGCGACCTTATATGATATAAAAAACGAAGAAAACTAAATCAACCCACACACTGTGAAACCCTTGCAAGGGTTTTTCATTTACTAGTTTATTAGTTTTCTGGTTGTTTCTATGCTGTTGTCCCAGTTGAGTTTAATTGAGGCTGTAGTTGTGAAAAGTTCCTCCATGGCTTGAGGTGGAACGCCACCTCTGAATCTTGGTTGGAACATTCCCAGTGGAGTGTGATATCTTTCACACAAACACATACCCTATACACATATATATGTATACACACACACACACACACACACACACACAGACACATACACAGTAGCAGAGAACAGCAGTCAATGTGCATGAACCTGTGATCACACCCACCCAGCCACCAGCAGTCACCCAGTCTGTGACCCCAACTAAAACTCACAAGATGAAGACAGGGTTTCCCCTCAAGGATGGAGGGATCTCAATATCACCCTCTTCTCTTTTTCTCTCTCTCTCTCTCTCTCTCTCTCTCTTTCTCTCTCTTCCTCTCTCCCTTCCTCCTCTCTTTCCCCTCCTTCCACTCTCTTTCCAATGAAGGTATCCTTCCTTCTTCCCTCAGTCCTTCTAAATTGATATTTCTGTCGTCTGCAATGGGACATATTTATGATGCACTGTGTGTGCAGGGGGGACCGTTTTTAATGATACAAAAGGACGTAATTTACTGTGATTACAGAGACAGAGAGAGAGGGAGAGAGAAAGAGGGAGATAGAGGGAGAGCGAGGGGGAGAGAGACAGAGAGAGACAGACAGAGAGAGGGAGAGGGATATAGAAGTGACGACAGCTTTGTGTTTATTACAGAATGTATTTTATCTCTAAGGACGAGACGTGCAGTAATCATCAGACATAGACGCTAAATCTAATGACCACTGAGGTCCATAGTGGGGCGGAAACACACAGTCCTGGGTACACACACACAGGCACGCGCACTCACACTCACACACACACACTCACACACACTTACGTTAGTCAGAGTGTTTGTGTCATTTCGGGTCACCTCACCTCTATTCCTCAGAGAACTGCAGTAACTAGTGTGTCAGACACATCATATGCATGCGCACACTCACACAAACATGCACACTCATACTAACACTTCAGAGTGCTGGTGTGCTATTTTGGGCCGAGAGTTTGGCATTGGACCTGTACTGGGCTCTAGTCTTGGAACACTGCTACAACCAATCACATCCCTGTAACAGTGATCGTTTCAGCTCTGGAGGTGGTGGTGGTACCACTACTAAATGTGTGTGTTCTGTCATACCGGTTTGAGTGTGTCTATTGCATAACCTTCTTCTTCATCCCTGGTTCAGATTCTATACGGATCCCCTATGGCACCAAGCTTTCCCTGTACATGTCTAAGGATGCCGAAGGTACTTCAAGGAGTCTTCCACTACTCCTCGGGTTTGTCCCAAATGGCACCTTATTCCTTATAGAGTGCACTAATTTTGACCAAAGCCTTGTGGGCCTTCATCAAAAGTGGTGTGTGATAAAGGGAATAGGATGCCATTCGTGATGTATCCCTCCCTCTTCAGTTTTTGCATCTAGCTGCACGTGCTGCCCTACTAACATGCACAGAAAAAACACACTTTTTTTTTTACATATGAAGCGGCATGTTTGACTGAACCTCAGTTGAATGTTAAGTGAACATGATTTGTCTTCCCCATCCCCTCTCTGTCATTCTAAAGAGGAGAGAGATTGTGAGAGAATGAGTGAGTCAGTTTAAAATTAAATTAAATTAAATGGAGATGGAGAGAGTATAATAATAATATGCCATTTAGCAGACGCTTTTATCCAAAGCGACTTACAATCATGTGTGCATACATTTTTACGTATGGGTGGTCCCGGGGATCGAACCCACTACCCTGGCGTTACAAGCGCCATGCTCTACCAGTTGAGCTACAGAGGACCACATGAGAGGGATGCAGATTCAGAAAGGTATGCGTGTGAGAGAGGTGAGAATGTTTGAGAGAGGGAGACTGAAGAGAGAGAGAGAGAGGGGGGGGGGAGGGGGGAGAAGACATGATTTACAGATTTCACTGTCGCCATGGAAACTTTTGTCAAAGCCCCCTCTCCCATCCAGAGTGGTGGTCCAAATAGAGGTGCCACAATCTGGGGGGATGGAGGGATGAGAAGACGGGGCGCTGACAAAAATACCATCCTCTAACCAATCGCCTATGCCTGCCGTTTCTGCTCTATGGGGACAGGTGCTTTTTCATTGGTGGAGAATTTACTCCGTTTGAGATCACATTTGTTGACATCAGGTAAAATGTGAATACAGGATGCTGTGTGGATTGGACAGTCAAATTACATCTGGTAGTATTCGACCAATCCTGAACCATGTTAAATCATGGAATCATATCCCATTCTGATCGGACGATTGGAAGGTTACAAAACATAACAATCCAAATATTCAGTACTCTTTTGGTCATTACTAATGTCAGTAAATTTGTTCATTCAAATCTCTTGTTAGTTTGTGAGATTTTTAGGTAATTTACCCTGGAGCAGAAACGCATGTGGGATATATAGATCCATGCGATTATATATCCCAGATGGTTGCGTGCTTGTTTTGATATAATTATTTTCTATCTATTTAGTTTATTATTAACAATTCCGTGTGTCTGGTATTGTTATGGGAGAGAAGGGCCGGTAAAGCGGTAACAGTGAGTCGGTGAACCTGTAATAACAATATGAGTGACCCCCTGTCTCCCAGAATGCTGCTTTCTTCACTTCTGACCCTGTGACATTTCAGAACGGCAGTCTGTTTGGTGCAGTGCAGCCTCCCATTGATTCAGACAGTCACATAGCTGCGTGTTAGTGTTAGTGTTGCCATCCTTTCTTGCTGCATTAGAATATTCCTGTTTCGCAACAAAGCCTCCTTCACTCATGCTGCTAAACATGCCCTCGTAAAACTGACTAACCTACCGATCCTTGACTTCGGCGATGTCATTTACAAAATAGCTTCCAACACTCTACTCAGCAAATTGGATGAAGTCTTATCACAGTGCCATCCGTTTTGTCACCAAAGCCCCATATACTACCCACCATTGTGACCTGTACGCTCTCGTTGGCTGGCCCTCACTACATATTCGTCGCCAAACACACTGGCTCCAGGTCATCTATAAATCACTTCTAGGCAAATCCCTGCCTTATCTTAGCTCATTGGTCACCATAGCAACACCCACCCGTAGTATGCGTTCCAGCAGGTATATCTCACTGGTCATCCCCAAACCCAACACCTCCTTTGACTGCCATTCCTTCCTGTTCTCTGCTGCAAATGACTGGAACGAACTGCAAAAAATCTCTGAAGCTGGAGACAGACTTATCTCCCTCACTATCTTTAAGCATCAGTTGTCAGAGCAGGTTACCGATCACTGCACCTGTACACAGCCCATCTGTAATTAGCCCACCCAACTACCTCATCCCCATATTGTTATTTACATTGTTATTTATTTTGCTCATTTGCACCCCAGTATCTCTATTTGCACATCATCTTCTGCATATCTATCACTCCAGTGTTAATACTAAATTGTAATTATTTTGCACTATGGCCTATTTATTGCCTTACCTCCATAACTTAATACATTTGCACACACTGTATATAGATTTTCTATTGTGTTATTGACTGTACGTTTTGTTTATTCCATATGTAACTCTGTGTTTGTTGTTTTTATCGCACTGCTTTGCTTTATCTTGGCCAGGTCGCAGTTGTAAATTAGAACTTGTTCTCAACTGGCTTACCTGGTTAAATAAAGGTGCCGCCTGGTGGTTACATTAGGCATTGCAGACCAATACAGCTGGGTCATGTACATTATGGCTAAACGTAACAAAACATTTTACAACGGAAATCAACTAACTATCGTTCTTATTGGCCAAATCCAGGCAGTCCCTCCTGGATTCAGTCCGTACGTTTGGTGCCTAATGAACCCAACCCTGTTGTATCTACGACTGTAATACAGCAGACTAGAGAGGCGGAATGCAGTGCTGTTACGAAGATGTTAAGCATCCAATTAATTTGACTTAAACAGTTGTTTAATTATTGATTCCAAATGATGAATAATTAATATATAGCCATAAATGGCTGTAATTGAGTGGTCATATGATATTACAGAGTGTTGATATGGCGACGATGATGAATTCATAATGAGATCACACAATGTGCCACTGAGTATAGTGTTATTAATCAGTTTAGATACAGGAGGCTTAATTTTAACATGACATGATCATGTTTTTCATGTTCATGTGTTCTTACACACATATTCTTCTAGTGTGTGTGTGTGTGTGTGTGTGTGTGTGTGTGTGTGTGTGTGTGTGCATGTGCATGGTAAACTAACCAGTCTAAGCATGTCTCCATAACTTCATTACCTGAAGTTGCCTGATGTAGAAATTATGTGTCTCTCTCTCACTGCAATACCTCTCTCTGTATCGCTCCTTCTCCATCCATCCTCACCCTCCCTGTGCCTCTCGCTTCTTGTCTCCCCCTCTCTGTTCCTCTTATTTGATCACTGCCACCCGTTCTTCCTCTACCCTTCTCTCTATCGCCCCCTGTCGCTGTCACTCGCTCTCTCTCTCTCTCTTTCTCCCCCTATCTTACGCCTCTCCCTCTCCCAGGTGAGGCACAGTGTAAGCATATTTTCAAGATCCCCCTGAGTAACCTGGTGGGCCGCAGCATCGAGAGGCCCCTCAAGTCCCCGCTGGTCAACAAGGTGGTGACGGGCCTGACAGCCCAGGCCCCTAGCATGTGTGTGGCCCCCGCGGGGCCCCTCATGCAGGGTGCTTCACACACCCTGTCCCTGTCCCGCATGGAGATCAAAGAGATTGCCAGCCGCACCCGCAAGGAGCTGCTGGGTGAGTGACACACCTGGAATGTACATACACACCCCTGACTACACACACACACACACACACACACACACACACCTGACAGGGCATTCAGAAAGTTAAGTGGACTGAATAATATGAGACAGTCAATTTTAATTGGTTGTAGTCACCCCCTCTTGCCCATCACCGTGTTCATGGTCATTTAGCTATTTTATGAAGTTTTTATCTAAGACACCTACAGGTGACAATACAGTAAACACTGAGTGTACAAAACATTAGGAACACCTGCCTAATATTGAGTTTCACCCCCCCCCCCCATTTTTGCCCTCAGAACAGCCTCAATTCGTCAGGGCATGGACTATACAAGGTGTCGAAAGCATTCCACAGGGATGCTGGCCCATGTTGACTCCAGTGCTTCCCACAGTTGTGTCAAGTTGGCTGGATGCCCTTTGGGTGGTGGACCATTCTTGATACACACGGGAAACTGTTGAGCGTGAAAAACCCAACAGCGTTGCAGTTCTTGACACAAACCGGTGGGCCTGGCACCTACTACCATACCCTGTTCAAAGGCATATCCTGTTCCATTCAACCTCTGAATGGCACACATACACAATCCATGTCTCAATTGTCTCAAGGCTTTAAAATCCTTCTTTAACCTGTCTCCTCCCCTTCATCTACACTGATTGAAGTGGATTTAACAGGTGACATCAATAAGGAATCATAGCTTTTACCTGGATTCACCTGGTCAGTCTATGTCATGGAAAGGTGTCAATGTTTTGTACACTCAGTGTATTTAATATATGTTTCCCTTGTGGGAATTAAACCTTCAACCCTGGTGTTGCCAGCACCATAACCTGCTCTAACCCACTGGAACCATCTCAGCATTGGAACCACTGTGATTGTAATGATATGTGCTCCTTCCTTCCTAATGGTTTAGTGAATGGCTGTGTTACGGTCGGTTCTTACTGAGTGGTTATGGTCATGTTCCTTACTGAATGGTCTTCTGTGTCTCCTGCCCAGGCCTAACCGAGGAGCCGAGCGGTAAGTCCGACAGCAGCACGGTCAAACAGAGGAAGATGAGCAAGAAGACCACTGAGGAAGAGCCAAAGGCACGAGCACTGACCTCCACCGGCAGTGACAGGTGAGTGACCCATATCTTCATCAATAACTCATTAACCTAGATAGTAGCAGTCATTAGAATGTTAAAAGTCATATATATATACAAAAATATAAACGCAACATGCAACAGTTTCAAATATTTTACTGAGTTACAGTTCATATAAGGAAATCAGTCAATTGAAATAAATTCATTAGGCCTTAATCTATGGATTTCACATGACTGGGAATACAGATATGCATCTGTTGGTCACATATACCTTTTTAAAAAGGTAGGGCCGTGGATCAGAAAACCAGTCAGTATCTGGTGTGACCACCATTTGCTTATGCAGCGCGACACATCTCCTTCGCATAGAGTTGATCAGGCTGTTGATTGTGGCCTGTGGAATGTTGTCCCACTCCTCTTCAATGTCTGTGCAAAGTTGTTGGATATTGGCGGGAACTGGAACATGCTGTCGTACACGTCGATCCAGAGCATCCCAAACATGCTCAATGGGTGACATGTAATAATAATAATAATAATTGGTCATTTAGCAGACGCTCTTATCCAGAGCGACTTACAGGAGCAATTAGGGTTAAGTGCCTTGCTCAAGGGCACATCGACAGATGTTTCACCTAGTGGGCTCGGGGATTAGAACCAGCGACCTTTCGGTTACTGGCACAATGCTCTTAACCACTAAGCTACCTGCCGCCTGGTGAGTATGCAGGCCATGGAAGAACTGGGACCTTTTCAGCGTCCAGGAATTGTGTACAGATCCTTGCGACATGGGGCTGTCCATTATCATGCTGAAACATGAGGTGATGGTGGTGGATGAATGGCAAGACAATTGGCCTCAGGATCTCGTCACGGTATCTCTGTGCATTCAAATTGCGATCGATAAAATGCAATTGTGTTCGTTGTCCGTAGCTAATGCATGCCTATACCATAAGCCCACCGCCACCATGGGGCACTCTGTTCACAACACCATACACGCTGTCTGCCATCTGCCCGGTACAGTTGATACCGGGATTCATCTGTTAAGAGCACACTTCTCCAGCGTGCCAGTGGCCGTCGAAGGTGAGCATTTTCCCACTGAAGTCGGTTACGTCGCCGGACTGCAGTCAGGTAGAGAGGAAGCCAGATGTGGAGGTCCTGGGCTGGCCAAATTCTTTCAAACGACGTTGGAGGTGGCTTATGTTAGAGAAATGGACATTCAATTATCTGGCAACAGCTCTGGTGGATATTCCTGCAGTCAGCATGCCAATTGCACGCTCCCTCAACTTGAGACATCTGTGGCATTGCGTTGTGTAACAAAACTGCACATTTTAGAGTGGTTATTTATTGTCCCCAGCACAAGGTGCTCCTGTGTAATGATCATGCTTCTTGATATGCCACACCTGTCAGGTGGATGGATTATCTCAGCAAAGGAGAAATGCTCAATAAGAGGGATGTAAAGACATTTGTGCACAAAATTTGAGAGAAATAAGCTTTTTGTGCATATGGAACATATCTGGGATCTTTTATTTCAGCTCATGAAACATGGGACCAACACTTTACATGTTGTGTTTATATTTGTTTTCAGTGTATATATTTTTTATAAAAAGGCATATTTGCTAATGTGAAAAAAAGCACTCATAACTAGAAGTTTCTCATTTATGTGAACGGAAGATTTGCGTAAAAATTCTAGTAGTGTGTAAAATGTTATGAAGTAATGATTCAAACTGATGGGCATGCTGTGTGTCCAATCAGGATGGGCTCAGAGTCGGCCGACACGGACTCAGACGTCCAACGGCACTGCTCGTCCAGCTCTGATGCGGAGCAAGAGAAGGCAGTGCTTAGAGAGGAGAGCCCGCCATTGGCCAGCCCCTTCACTCTCTCCACATCCTTCGAAGATGATGTCCTGGACCTAAAGTGAAGACAATCCCATCATGCACTTCTTCTCTGCCTGCCTCCTCCTCTCCTCCTCATCCCCCATCCTCCTTCGGTCATTTTGTTTTGGTTGGGTTTTTATCTCCTTTGTCTGGGTCTTCATCCTCAGACATGGTGGGTAGGAGGAGTAATAGTGTAAAGTGTGTGTGTGTGTGTGTGTGTGTGTGTGTCTGTGTGTTGCACCGCAGCGAGTAACCCAAAGAAAATGAGGAGATCATTTCAGGTGGTGTGGTTTGTTCAGAGTACAGATGTCATTATACGCCGAAAGGATTCTTCTATAAACGAAAACTGAATGTAAATCTGCGCACCAAGGCACAACAAAAAATTGGTTCGAAAACGGCGCCCTCGCGAAGTTGCTACGGCTTACCTTTTATTGTATATTCTGTGATTATTTCCACTTTCAAATGTAGTATAATATATGCATATGTATGTGTACATCTATTTATACATTAAGATGCATACACATTGACAGACATTAATACCTTTATAGATATATTATAATATACATTTTATTCACATATTTAGTAAATGTACAATGTTTTATGCTCTCCATGTCTGTCAGTCTTGTTCTATTTCCTTCCCAACTCTGTGTGCAGGTATACAGGACTGGACTGGAGGCAGTCTCCCACAAGTGCCATTTCCCCACATCCTCCACTAAACTACAACTCCCATCAGCCACCAGTCACCTCTCCTCTGATTGGCTGGTCTCTGACAGTAGCAGTCATAATCATGTATCCCTCCGTAGATAACATCCCACAGTGACTCTGTGAGCTAGGTTTAATAAGCATAGAGTCAAACACACACCCACACCTCTAGGGCCTCTAAAAGCACCTGCATGCCTCTGCTACTACTGTCCTGTCTCTGGCTATCCCTGAGAATCCATGGGGTCCACGTCTTCACAGAATATACAGTCTCCTATACACAAACCACAACCTTTCCAGTAAGTTTACTGTGGCCTATGAGTGGCCCAACAATGGTTTAGTCAGGGGCCAATTGGCCAGTTAGCGCATCGCCTTTACAGTGGGCCTTTAAAGTCTGTCCACTGTTGGGCCGCTAGTGGCATCGGCTGCCGACACGGGGACGCCATGAGCTTGTGTGCTTTATAGCGGTGTGCAGACTCATAGCCACCAGTGGTTCACTTGTTAGTTGGGTTGGAGAATTGATCAAGTGGCCAACTACTTCCATTTAGGAGTGATGTAATGAGGTAATGTAGTCAGTCATGGTGTGCATCCCAAATAGCACCCTATTCCCTATTTAGTGCACTACTTTTAACCAAGGCCCATAGAGCTCTGGGCAAAAATATAGTGCACTATATAGGTGAAGAGGCCGCCATTTGGGATGCAGACAGTGGATGAGAGGCCAGACAGATGGTAGGTACTATAGCCTACCTCAGAGTCCCTATAGGAGCTATTTGGAAGAAGGAATTCTCACTCCTCTCCAGCTCTTCACTAGGAGCAAGACATAACTCACTAAGTGCAATGGGACATTACTAGAAACACAGGAGTTATGATGCGTGTAGAGAGAGTCAACTGAAACAGCACAGAGGAAGCCATAACACTTAACCTCCTCTGGTACCAGAGATATAGTAACCAAGCCCAATGAGAGTAACCAAGCCCAATGAATAGGGTGATATCAGCCTATCAGCACACGGGTCAGCGGTCAGACATGACTCATTACTAGGGAACCATGGGAAATGTAGTGTCTCATCACTATATGTAGCGGACATGAGTCAGGCTCACAGTCTCGATAAGGTAGCCCTGCCTGTGACTTCAAAATCAATGTCACTCTCGGCCCAAGAGGGAATTTCCTATTGGGGCAACGGGCTAACGGTTAGGACGTTGGTTTCTCCAGTGGAAGACCAGGTTCAGATCCCACCGTGACATACAGGAGGATATTGTCTTGGCAGTGTCTTATGCTGCATCATCCTGAGAGCAGTGTTAGGGATGAGACTTTGGCTAAGGTACCATTTTGGCTATGTTGTTATTACTAGCCAGGGTGATATTGCTGAGAAGTACACATCCTGAGAGCAGTATTACGAGTATTAGGGAAAGTTCTTGGCTAAAGCATGTGCATCCATTCGGCTATGTGAGTGCCCTCGTGTGGTCGGCTTGCGACATGGCACCCCTCTTCTGATCTTGCATGAGCCCCCCTGCCATCTAACTATCTCTCTCTCTCTCTCATTCTCTTCTGTTACTCTCTGTAATTGCCTGTCTAATGTGGTCTCCTTCAACACTATTACGCAAAACTGGAGGGATGAAAAAAGGGAATTAATAGGGGGACTATTTTTACAATGGAATTTTTCTTGTTATTTATTCTGCTGGTTCTTAACATGAGTGTAGGTGAATGGGGGTGTGATGTCTGGCGGTTTGAAGGTTTGTAATACAGCTTCTATCACTTTGATCGTTCTCCCTGTTTCTCTCTCCTTCGTTTCTGTCGGCCCTGTTAAGTTCTCACCGCTCGACTCCTTGATGTTTTTCGCAGTGGTTTTTGTATCTAAATCAATATTTACTGTTTAGGCTGTTGCTCAACCTCTCTGTGATATGAAAACGGAAGAAAAAAAATGAAAAAAACACCAAGTGTCTTAAAAATAATGTATCGCCATCGTTTTTAATGCCAAGTACTACTTGTAAATGTGTGTGTTTCAAATGTGGCCTCAAATGAAACTGAACTATTATTATTATTATTATTATTATTTGAAAAATTGTTTCAATTTGAACAAGTGCTGTAGACCACTGCTGTGAAAGTAGTAAATTCTGTTCATTGATATGTAATAAATATTTATGAAATTTGAACACATTTTGTTTGTAGTCTTCCTGATAATGGAATTGTTATTTTTGGCGCTGTGATATAAAAAATAGCTGGAAACTGGATATGTACCACTGACTGTAAGGATCTACCTGCTAAACTACATTTCCCATAATACCCCAGCTGTCCCAAATGGAGACTCCACTCTACCTGCCTGGAAGGTGGCAGCACAAACTGAGTGTCAGTGAATTCTTTCCCTCCCGCTCTCTTTCCCCCTCTCTCCCTCTCTTGCTGATGAATGACTGTGCCCAGGCCCCTGTCACCTGTGAGCTGATCACAATCTCCATGGCGATTGATCTCTCACCTCTCTCTCTGAGCAGACTCATCAATCTCACTGTGACAGCAGCGACCCCCATGGAACACACACACACACTCAACCTTACATCATTCTCCCTGTGACACACAAATGGGTGAAGCGTTTCCACTGCACTCTCCATCTCTCCCAATACCACACTGACTCCCCTTCTCTCTCTTTCTCTCGCTCTCTCTCTCTCTCGCACTCTTAACCCTGTGATTACCAATCCAACCCAAAGCCTCTGTCAGAGCATGCTACTTTCTTCAACATTGTAGCCGTTTCCTGAAGTCAAATGACCAAATTTCCCCTTTAGTGGCTTCATGGGTGGAATGTTAATATTTTTCATAATTTCATAATTAATAAACATTCACTTTTTTTACTCGCTGAGAATCCGGTGTTTCTATCTCAAATGGTTTTGTTATATTTCAGTCTTCTGTGATGCATATGGAAGTGTAAAATTGGAATGCAAACTCAACTGAATAGCTGACATGGTACAGGTGTCTTCTTTTTTTAAGGCCATAACCACGTGTGTGAGGTGTATATTTTTGTTTCAAAGTAGATTTGTTTAAGACTACCAAGAAACATTCTGTATGACCCTGATTTAGGCCACTGCAGTAAAATGTTACCTTACACTTGTCCTATGCCGTAATCCTTTAAAACTACTGAATTCTTATAAAACAATGTCCCCCAATGTCATAGTCATATTCCAACCTAGAAAGCTGTCTGGCTCTTTTCTCTTGGCCTGTCCCCAGTTGTGGCCCTGATTTGAATGATTCATAAGCTTCAGCCAAAAGCAATTAAAAAAGCATGCCTCCTGTTTAATGGTGTTGCTGTTATTTAACATTGACAAAGCTCATAATTGGGAGAGAGCACTAAAGAGAATGGAATCTTGGTATTTGGGAAAATTAACTCAACGTGACCTGAGCTCCACTGTAATTAATTGTTTATTCATGATTATGTTCCAGTTTATTTTGCCTCATGGAGGTTTCTGTGAATAGAAGGATGTCATGTACGTGTTTGTCCACTTGGTGGCGGTGTAGCATTCAAAGCAGGGCCAGTATTCATAAAGCGTCTCATAGTAGAAGTGCTGATCCGGGATCAGTTTAACCATTTAAATTACAATGAATACGATTTTATGGATAGAGGGGGACCTGATCCTAGGTCACCAGTCAGTACTCTGAGACTCTTCATGAATACTGGCCCTGATCTATGATCAGGTTCCTCCTAGGCATCTTATTCATTATGATTTAAAGGGAAACTGAACGCAAAAACCAACTTATCTGGTTGAAAACAGCCTATGTGGCATCGATATTAGTCATAAACATTTAATTCAGTGCCAAAATGTAAGTAGGATAATTTTGGTCATGAAGTCAGTTATATTTAAAAACTTGAGTTTTGTGAGTTTTGTGTCACTGAGGTTGTCACAATTTATATGAGGGTTGGGTTTCCTCAAGTCAGCCTCGGAGAGTCCTTGCCACATGTGACACAAGTCTGTATTTGGGGAGTTTCTCCCAGTCTTCTCTGCAGATCCTCTCAAGCTCTGTCAGGTTGGATGGAGAGCGTTGCTGCACAGCTATTTTCAGGTCTCTCCAGAGATGCTCGATTGAGTTCAAGTCCGGCCCCTGGCTGGGCCACACAAGGACATTCAGAGACTTGTCCCGAAGCCACTCCTGCATTGTCTTGGCTGTGTGCTTAGGGTCGCTTTCCTGTTGGAAGGTGAACCTTCGCCCCAGTCTGAGGTCCTGAGCGCTCTGGAGCAGGTTTTCATCAAGGATCTCTCTGTACTTCGCTCCGTTCATCTTTGCCTCGTTCCTGTCTAGTCTCCCAGTCCCTCCCGCTGAAAAGCATCCCCACAGCATGATGCTGCCACCACCATACTT